TATATTGAAATAAATAAATTATATTTATATTTATAATAATAAAAAATAATTATATTTATTAAAATTTATTAGAAAAATAAAATTATTTCTCAATTGATATATTTATGTTTACTGTAGTTATATGTTGTAAGTTAAAAAAATTATTATAATATAACACAAGTAAGTCGCACAAATAAAAAGTGACATACTAAATATATAATAATATATATTTTTATAAAAGGTATTTAAATTTTTAATTATTTTTTCTCATTAATTTTAGATTTTAAGAAAAAAAAATAGCAAACACCCGTGTAATACACGGGAGTTGTACTAGTAACAATATATTGTAAAGATTTATTTTAAATTTAAACAAATAAAGAAATCAAATCCATCATAAAACAAGAACAAAATACCATAACAAAAAAATATAAATAACAATTTACTAATCCAATCTGGTTGTTTATGGAATCAAATATTTTAACCACAATTCAAATTACTATCTTTTTATTTCTTTTTTTTTTGTTCGAAACGATAGAGATTTTATAAGGCGCACAAATGTGCAAACAAAGATCGTCCCAAAGTTGAATGATACAACTAAGAGCTATAAACTGCGAGGGCGGATACAAAGATCGTCTAGAGACACTCTAGCAATGCTAGACCAACACCAGAACAATACTAAACTGAAAACACTACAAAACTCCAAAAATAGAGAATAACCGAATCCAAAAAAATAATACCCGCTCACTCTCAGCCACACAGAGGTCAATGACCCAAACCAAAAACACAACTCATAGAAAAACAAATAAACCGAAAGACACACTGCAACGAAACAAACACGAACAAACACACCCAAACACAAACACAAGCAATCCCTAAAAAAACTAAAACTACACAAGCCCTTCCTCAGTCGAAAAGCACCGAGAGTACACCGACGACCCCACAGCCGACCACCTAACCGTACCGGACCATACTCCGAGCAGATGCTCCAGAAACTGCCTAATGCCTAACTAGACTTCCCCAAAACGCGACTCTGAACCTAGGCGGACAACCGCAGCTCACAACAAGTGGAACACTGATCTTATCACCCTACCTGCTGCCTCCCCAACTTCGACCAACACCACTGGCGAGATTGGAGACTCCACCGACCGTTTTACCCCAACACCAAGGGGAAAGAGGCCCGGAGGAAAAAATCAACGAAGCACAGCCCTATCTCCCTGACAGAAGACCGGAGCTACAGCCTCCCCTTGCAAGCACCCAACACCACCCCAACGACGCACATATGACGAAGACGCCCCCCAGACGACACCAAAACTTGGCGAGAACACAGGCTGCCATCAGCCTCCCGCCCCACAGTGACAGCATCGACGCAATACCAAGGGAAAAGCCGCGTGGACACATCACACACCCTAACTCCACGAAGGTCCCAGGACCCGATCGAAGAAGACAACCTACAAATTAAAGGAAAATTGGCCGCAAAATAAGTTGATTTCAAGGAAGGGAGAAAAGGGGCTAGGGGGAGCGATTATTTCCTTTTTAATTCAATCTATATCTCTTTTTATACTTATCAGTTCATTTTAATATTATATAATAAATCTGCCAAAAAAATGAGAGTAGGATTTCACAATAATCATGGTATAGACAAATACTTCTAGTGATTCCAAAGGAGAGTCGTCAAGAAATTGTGAATGCAACTATTAATTCTTCCAACACTTGGAGGGATTGTACTGTGTTGCGACTTACAAAAAACATGCATCTTCAGAGCATTTCAGATGCAGACGAACGTGACGAACTAATAGCCTTTACTGATATTGCGAGCATTGGAGATGGGACTATAGGAGGATCACACGACGGTTGTGCAGAGATTGACATTCCAGATGATATACGATTGGAACCCTTATATGATTCAATTGCTATAATCATCGAAAGTACCTATCCAATGTTCAAGAATGCAACTGACGATCCGACGAATTTGAAAGACAAAGCTATATTAGCGCCTACTTTGGACGTCGTTGAGTCTATCAATCAATACAGTCGGATATAAATTATGCTGAAGGTCGTACATATTTTAGCTCTGACAGTACGTCTAAGTCGGATTCCGACAACAACTTTTTGGCAGATCTTCACACACTAGAGTTCTTGAATAGCTTTAGGTGTTCGGGAATACCGAACAATGAGTTGCATTTGAAGATAGAAACTCCGACCATGTTGTTACGAAACATGGACCATTCTATATGTCTGTACAATGACACATGTTTGGTTGTTACAAAGCTCTCTCCGCATGTTCTTGAATATAAGATATTGACTGGAGATCACGCAAGTGAGAATATGTTGATTCCTCGGACGAACATAACTCCTTCCGGTGTTAGGGTTCCATTTAAGTTCCAGCGGAGACAATTTTCCCTTAAGGTTTCATATGCCATGACCATAAACAAGAGTCAGAGTCAGTCTTTATCACATGTCGGACTATTCTTTGAAAACACGTTTTTAGTCATGGCCAGTTATATGTTGCTACTTCACGTCTTACTAATAGCAAGGGGTTGAAAATATTAGTCTGTGGAGACGATGAATTACATAGTAATCAAACTAATAATATTGCATACAAGGAGATTTTTAATAATGCATAGCTTATTACCCACGAAGAATTTATGCTTACTTTATGAATGCCCTACGTATTATAACTTATTGATTAATGACCTTCAATTTATTAAATTTTTCTAAAATAATTACAGCCCGTGCTCGCACGGGTTACATACTAGTATTATTTAATTATATTGATAATATTGAACATAATTAAAATTGAGTTATATTTTAAATAAAAAAAAGTGATTGAAAATTGTTTAGGTTTTTATATCATGCACACCCTTAGTTTGAAGCAAGTCCCTTATGCCACTTTGTCACAAAACTTGTTTGACCAAAATAAATGATATGATCATCATCATAGTGTAAAAATATTCCATACATAATAACTTGTTTGTGTTAAATCCCATGTTTCCATTTTGATAGTATTTTATCTTTATTTATAATTAATCACAATCTAAGATGCAAGATTGAGAGAATGGAAATTACATGCATGATTTATATTTTTTTATTTAGTTTGTTTGACCCAAAGCAAAATAATCCACCTCCCTAGATGGAGAGATTAGTGAGAAAGAGAGAGCATAGAAGCAAGAGAATAATAAACCCAACCTATATCACCTGCATACTCATGTCATTTTGACTCTTTTCCACTTTTTAACTTTTTGTAAAAAAAAAAACTCTTTCTAGAGCCCCTTGCACTTCTCCTTCTCCTCCCATGGCCAACCACCCCAAATTCCATAATGTCAAGGCAGAGCTATTGGACCCCGATATCACTCTACGCCGCTATTCAGATCCCGCTGCCGTAATCGAACTGTCGAGCTCCGACTCTGACTCTTCGTCCTCCGACGACGACAATGGCGGAGATTATAATGCGAAGAAGAAGAGGAAGAAGACTGCAGCGGACGTGTTGCCTGTGGGGTTTTTGGATCCCTTGCCATCAGAACAGGCGCCGTCGCCGCTGCTGCTGCCGCCGCCGCCGCCTTCTTCTCCGCGGGGTGAGCGGTTGCGATTGGAGTTTCCATCGGCGAGAGCAGGAACTGTTTCGGAGCCAAATTCAAAGCAGTTCTGGAAGGCTGGAGACTACGAAGGGGCGCCTCCTGGGGATTGGGATTCTTCTAATGGTGACTTTATTATTTTTTCTGTTTTTCTATTGTTCTTTTTCAATCGTCTCGGGTTCGTTTGTTTTTGTTCTCGATCTTACTCTAGTAATTCTTTTCTTTACTGGGGTTTATGGGAGTGGTAGAAGTACAATCACTCGTGATGTCTGCATTTTCTTTTGCCCGGGTTGATGATTACACATTTCTAGGAGAAGTGCCAGTTGTGGATTATGCTTGTCGGGTGCAGTTTGTGTGCATTTTGCTTTTTGGTGTTTGCGATTATGTTATCCCTTTTACTGGTGACCCTAATAGAAGTTGATTGCCTAGTTTGAATAACGGGGCTTAAGATGCTGGTAGACTCTTGCTCAGCAATTTGACTAGACAAAGGGAAATCAGAGCATGATATCGTGTGAACAACTTTTGAGTGCTTTGCCTTCAGGAAACATATTCCTCTATACAGTCACTATAGGTTTTCCGGTTGATATTTCTGTTCCAAAAATGCTAGAAAAGCTAGAAAAAAATGTTCCTCATATCTGCAACACATATAGTATGAGGTGGTAGAATGTGAGGATGGAAGCTTCTTCAATTATTTTTTAGGAAGAAGATGGGAACTCTGATCTGCATCATCTTTTAAAGGCAACATATGGGAAATTTGCTGAAGAGTTGTAAAGAACCTAACTACTCGTGCATGCAAATAATGAAGCATAAATACAGTCCAGAAATTCTGAATGATGCAGCTTAGATGTCTCTTTTTTATTGTTTCGTGACTTTCGTCCTCCTTTTATGATGTGCGCCTGTTTAACCTCTCACCTGACTCGTGTACTCCATTCTCAGCTGGCATGGACCATGTCAGAGTGCACCCCAAATTTTTACATTCTAATGCGACGAGTCATAAGTGGGTCCTTGGAGGTAAGAACTGGCACAATTCACTAAAATCGTCATTTTCTTGATGTCTATGTCTGGTTTATATGGAGATGTAATTCATTCATACAATACTGGTACTGTGAATATACTTTTGCAGCTTTTGCAGAGCTCTTGGATAACTCATTGGACGAGGTAATTGCAATGTACCTTCTTATTCAGAATGTCCATGCAACGAATCTTTACGCTTTAGACTCATACTTATATGCTGGTTTGTATTTTGACTTAAGGTCTGCCATGGAGCTACATATGTGAACGTAGATATGGTCAAAAGCAAGAAAGATGGGAGCAAAATGTTGCTCATTGAAGGTTTTATCTTATTCTTACATTTCCTTTTATCAACAATATATACTTTCATCTCGAGCACTTGTATCACGCTGTTATACATAAACAAATGGCTGATTGAAGTTTAAGTTATACATATCCACTTACATTTGATTCATCAATGGCAACCTTTTTCTTGATGTGGGGATAGTCCGTATTATATGTTTATTTCCAGTCTTCTATATGTAAATTTTGCATGACTATTTAGATTGTAAATCTTGGAATCCATTTATTTTATTCTGGTTCAGTCATGCGTTATTCATTAGTTATGTCTTCTGATTATCTTTTGCTTCTTTTGGTAATTCCGTTTATTCTTTAATTTATTGCTTTATCTACACAAATTGTTTACATTTGAGTTTTCAGATAATGGTGGAGGAATGGACCCGGAAAAAATTCGTCACTGTATGTCTCTTGGGTATTCTGCTAAGAGCAAACAGGTCAATACGATTGGGCAGTGTAAGTTACCCCACCCCCACCCCCACCCCCACCCCCACCGTAAAAGACTTCCTCTTTCTTCATTTCACACTTGCACGCCCCCCACACACATTATTTCACTCCCTTGACTTGATAACGTTGTGGTTCAGCTGCTTAATTATTTTTGGAAACTATGTTTGTTAGATGGAAATGGGTTTAAGACAAGCACCATGAGGCTTGGCGCCGACGTTATTGTTTTTTCTCGATGCTCTGGGAAGGGTGGACTAAGGTTTGCAATCTTTGATCTAGTAGAATGGCTTTATGCTACAATATCATTATGGTTTCCTCTTAAGAACATGATGAATTATATTTTTCCTCATAGAGCTACGAATGAACAATGTGTTAACGATTCAATATGTCCATCTGCACATCGTAGCTCCGTATGCTACGATATTTCTTATTGATACTGGTTAATGATATTGTTTGGAGGCTTGGAGCACAATTTTGCCTAACTAGGTATCTGGCATATATATACACATATATATATATATATGTATATGTGTGTGTGTGTGTGTATTGTTACTGCAATCTGTATTTTCATATTCACTTAGTTATTGTTTATCTCATGCTATATAGACACGTCACTATTTTTGAGTGCTTTTGACTATCCCGATATATCTTTGTCATACAACTAATTGAACAATGAGATTTACTATGGTAACCGAAATTCTGTCAAACAGATTATGTTGTTTCTGGTTTATTTTGACGGGTTACTTCTAGTTGTCATGGTGGAGTAGATTAACATTATTTTTCGTTTGATGCTTTTCATTGATTAAATTAAATAACATTAATGGCCTTCGTAATATTCCGTTTATGAAGTCCTTGTTCTAAATTTCATTGCTGGGCTTACCTCGGAACTCATTCACATAGCTCGGCTGTTCTGTTATAATTGGGAAACTTAGATAGAGTACCCTTATTTATTTTAAAAAATGCTACAAGTACATAATAAATGTACATAGAGGTGTACACAGGTGTCCACTTGATTTTTATTTTTGGTCGGTCCCACTTAATGTGAGTGTTATGTACACACCTATGTACAGTATTATGTACCTATAGAAGGGATGCATGTAGTTAGTTTCTGGTGATTTTCTCTTTTACTCTTGCCTACCTACTATAGCTTAGATTCCACAACAAAGGCAATTTTAAATCATAAACTGAAATTTGATTGTTTGTATTTTGCTCCAATCTCTTCCTTTTGTTTTTGAGCCCTTTTTGTGTTTCTCTTACCATTGGTTCTCTTGGGTTTTATCTCTAGCCTATCCCAACTTGTTTGGGACTAAAAGGCTATGTTGTTGTTGTTGTTGTATTTTGCACAATCATGACGCGGTATGTATCAGTAATATGCTGATATAAGTTACGTATCGTGATACATCATTTAATTGAATTTCTTAGTTGTCCGAGTAAACAGAATACCAACAGAAATATGTTCATACATTCATTCTGATTTTTATGTCATGGATACAAAGGAAGATTAGTATGTCAATGATTGGAATGCATCAGTCCACACTTTGATTCTAATTCAGTCAGTCGTTTAAATATATTGCCAACATTGTAGTGTACGACCCAGGTCATGGCTGGTAGCAAGAGGTTCCGTACTCCTTTCCTATGTGTAAAAATAAATGCGCCATGTACATTGACTATTGCTGCGTAGTTAAGAATAGTATTAGGAATGCCTAAACCGTTACATGCAGTCAATAGTGCTACCTTCTGTTCCGTGTTCCTTTTCTAATTTTATCTCCATTTCCTTTATCTGGTCCCTCTGCACATGAATCTTCTGTGATTTTCTTTTATTCACATATCTCCTTGCTTATTTCATGGACTGTTGAATGGTTGTGTTTATAGGCCGACCCAAAGCATTGGACTGCTTTCATATTCATTCTTGAAAGACACAGGAAAACAGGACATTGTAGTCCCCATGGTGAGCAATTCTTTACCATTACGTGTAGATGTTAATGTAGTAACCTTTGTAACTATATATTTAACGAAGTGTTCTTAATTTTAATTTAAGAAAAAAGGTGGACTGCGCTTGACTAAATTGGCAACCTATCTACTTTGTTATTTATTACATACATGTGTAGCAAGACCACTGGAAACATAAATAAAAAACACACTGAAAGTATATTTTGTCATATTCTATAGAGATGTGACTTGTTAGCGGATGAGTGACTCTGCTATAGTTATTTTTACAAATAACTCACTGAGACGTATCTACTTCAAGAGTTATACGAAAGAATACATTAAATTCTTAATTATTTTCTACGGGGCCAATTGCATTGTCGGGGAACAAAATACATAAAACATGTTCGCGTGCTTATGTTCTGATGGCAATTACAGATTCCCCGATTCTAACTTAACCCAGTTCTATTTTTAAATTGCTCTATTCCATTTCAGAAAGGAACACTAGTGTTTATGCAAATGAAAACTCAATGTTGTACTACTCTCTTTTAGAATTTAAAGGGGTTATATCAACTCACATCGGATAGTCAACCTCTCTCATCAGCTCATCTTTCACATAAATAAGGACACAGAGTATCTAGTATCACCTGCTTGTAGGCAACTTCTGTTATCTGTGTCTGAAAATGACTTTTTTGAATTGAAATGTAATCAAATATGAAACCTAGCTCACATAAAATATCGAAAAGGCGTTTAATAGAAAGCCAAAACTCGTGTTTGTTTTTCTAGAGAAGCTTGTGAGTAACCAACATATGTGTAGTTCCATGTAACTTCCCTTCCATTTGTGATGTTATATGATTTGAAAAATTGGAATTTGTTATGTTGTGGCCATCTTTTTGTTAAATTAAGGACTTCTCTAAGACTTAATTTTATTTCCTTGTTTTATATGCTTCTTGGCTAATGGGGAATGCTTTACCCTCAAAAGAAAACCAGATTAGTGCAATTATTGTTGGGAATTATCATTACTTGTCAAAATAATTGTTGGCCTTATTGCTGGGCCATATTATTGACTTTTTTATTTTTTTTCAAAATGATTAAAGCTTGATTATGAAAGGCAAGGACAAGATTGGAACAGGATACTTCGATCTTCTGCCACTGGCTGGGATCGGAATGTTGAGACGATAGTTCAGTGGTCTCCATTTTCAAGTGAAGCGGATCTTCTTCGGCAGGTGATTCTTGTTTAATGGTCTTTGTGACGGTGTAATGTGGATTTATTGCGTTTATGCTCTAAAATTTTGGCTGTGTTATATAATAAATCTTGTCGCCGACTTTCTGTCATTAGTGTTCAAGTGTCTAAGTGTGAATGCAGTACTGCAGCATTATCATTTTCCTCTATTTTATGCTTCTGTGATAATCACTGGGTATATCGCTATTTTTCTGTTATTTGTGTTTACCGTGTAGCGGAGTTTCTCGGTTCTTTAGAGATCAATTGGCTGATTTATTGTATCATTTTATTTACGTAAGTGTTGGGCTTTACGCACATAAGGTTAGAGTACCTATAATGGTTATGTTTAGATTTGTGTCTCTATTATTAGAATTGGTGCATTGAAGATGGCAGGATTTTTCCCAAAATAAATTATGATGAGGGGGATTCGTTCAGAGTTGTTCTCAGTTATTTATTAATTAATAATATGGATTAGTTTCTAATGTATCTGGTTTGCACCTCAAATCTATAAAGATAACCTCTAAAAGTGTTAGGATGCGGTTGCAACCATTTCATTTTGAACGTTTTCATTTGATAAGATTCAGTTATGATTTTTCTTTCTTCTATTTTTGTCAAAGAAAAATAAAAAATTTGAAATGATTGAATATAAGATGATTAAAATCAATTTGATTATAATAGTAAAATAATGATTGGTATTAGGGCTTGAGTAGGTGAAATGATGAATAATGTAAATTATTTGGAAAATATGTAAAAGCCATTGGTAATTGCATGATATTAATAATAAGTCGATTTGTCGGAGAAGAAGGTTAAGGCAGGTGAATGGTAGAATTTTTATACATGTGAATTTTTTAAAATCCCAAAATTAAACAATCTCCAGTCGCATCCTTTTCTTTCTACCATTCCCGGACTTGTGAAACACTCACACCTTTCTCGACCTATTTGTTCTTTCATCCTTTTCTTTAGCGGCACTGTTAGTTCGCCTTCTATCTCGACTTATTACCTTTCTTCGTCATTTATTTCGACTCCTACATCTAATGCGACCCATTAGGGTTATCTAAAATCTATTTCAATTGCATTAATAATAACACCCAAGTCTGGCCATAATGTCAATGATACTGATCTCAGCATGTCTGGAAAGGGCCAGGCATTGAAGTAACTGCATTGTATGGCTTTGATCCCCTCCACGTTTGAACAATTTGCCATGGCATGGATTTTTTATTTTATTTTTATTTTTTATTTTTTTTTTCCGGAACTCGAATTTCAGATTCTAAGTGACCTTTTTAAAGCTTGCAGTTCACACACACCACCAGCATCCCAAGGCTGTGATAGTCCTTTGAATTCTTGTCCTAGTGAACAGTGGATTTCTGCAGGGCTTTATTTTCAACAATATCACCCTGATAGTGAGCAGGGCATGTAACATCGCTAATTGGCTTGGATATCTACCATACCATTAAGATCAAAATGCAGTTATTCGTTAGTCTTCTAATGATTTAATATTTGATAGAGAATCATTGAAATATTCTGATTTAACTTTATTGCATATATGATATATCTGTAAGAATTTTTGAAATCCCAGTGTATGTACTTGTACACATCGTTGGATGATGTGGAAA